GGGCACGCATGCACATGCACCCAGTGTGAGTTTAAGCCACCGGATCCAGGACTCGAACCACAGTCAGCTACATGGGAGTTCAGTGACATAGCCATTACGCTAACTGCTGGTCCCGGGGCAGGTGCCTTCTTACTTTTCTCTTTCTCCCTGTCTGTTTCTGGTGAGCACATGTGCTCTTTGGCAAAATTAAAAAAAAAAAAAATTCAGTAGGGAAAATTAATACACGTATTAAGAAAACCCTAATTAAGTAAATCATTGAGATGTTAAGGTTTATTAGATCAAATAGAAATTAAGTACCAATACTAATATATAATGTATATTCAAATGCTAATGTGTCATATATTATACCATATAGTATTGGGAATACTATTAATAGTATATTTATTTATCTTATTAAGTTCTTCATAGTTTTAATGAAGTTTCATGGATTGTTAATTTTCAAGTGTTAGGGAAGGAAGGAGAATAAAATATAATTTGTGCCACCTATTTTAAATACTGTAGCAGAACTCATGAAGACAAGAAGTTATAGACTGGAAGACAAGGTATGATAGCTAATAAAGAATAAACCCAGAAATAATTAGAACAATAAATATGTCAATGCTATAATCTATTTCTCAAAGGTAAGGAAATACTTAATAGTCCTCAAATCTTGTTTGAACATAGGTGGCGTTGGTTTTTTGGCCAGAATGAATGTCCGCGTCTCACCCAGGCAGCTTGAAAATCACACCAGGCACATGTGCATGCATACACAAAATCTCAACAGGATAAAGAAATGGAGGAGACAGGCTGGTGGCATAAACAGACCCCAGTATGGGCTGCTTTCTCCTCTCCCTCTATCTTTCTGTTTCTCTCTGATAATTAAAAATAGAAACATAGCTGCTCGATGTTTCTTTTACATGTTGATGAGAAGAAAGAGAGCATAAGGCAGGAAATGGTTCTATCAGCTGAGAAGTGAGAGAAGGATGCCTGCTTGCTCTCAAAGATTTCCTGTGCTAAATCTCTGAGGCTCAGAGGTATTTCCATGTCAGGAAAGAATCAGGTCACACAAGCCTTTCTTCAAACTCAAAAACATTCCTGCATGCTGTTTGCTCTCAAAGATTTCCTGTGCTAAATCTCTGAGGCTCAGAGGTATTTCCAGGTCAGGAAAGAATCAGGTCACACAAGCCTTTCTTCAAACAAACTCAAAAACATTCCCGCATGCTGTCAAAATAGCTTCTCCCTTATTGCTTCCCCCCCCCCAAGATTGAATAAATTGAACAAGGATCTTTATTTTTCTCTCTACAGATATTTTTGTATACATTGTGACTAACAGCATACATGCATAATCTTTTCATGGCATTTTTTTTGTTTCTTTCTAACAATTAATGTTTAAGACTTTTAGTCCCAATTTTAATAAATAGTTAGAAAGCTAGTTGGTGGCATTTTATAAATAGACACACACACATACATATATATATTTAATAATCGCTATAGGGTGTGTGCTCTCACCAGAGACCGACAGGAAGACAGCGAAAGAGACACGGAGGAGAGGGAGAGGGAGTAAGCACTGGTGCATGGTCATGATGCCACCCCTTCTCCATTCCTCCAACCTGTCAGGATTTGGGGCATGCACATACATACAACTGGCATGTTTTCAAGCCTCCAGGACCAAAAATCAAACTCTAGTTGATATGTAAGATCCAGCTCTCTTAACTACTCAGCCATAGATGGCACTGTGCCAGTATTAATTGGAGACAGAATATCTGAGTAGGAAAAGGACATTTCACCTAGGCTAAAAGCTTATTAAATAAGGGACTTGCTTGGTTGTGTAGCAGTAATGCCACACCTCTGTGGGGCTGAGCCACATGGGAAAGCTCCCAATTCATGTCCAGAGACTCCTTGAACTTGCTGGCTCAGGTGTGCCCATGATCTGGGGCTGGGCTGGAGGTGGGATGGATCACAGCAGAAGTTCTTGTTGGGAGTGGCTGTCTCTCCATTTATATCTCTTTCTGTCTCTTTTGCTCATGGAGGAAGGTAGTAAATAAATGTAAAGAATTCTTGCAAGATCCATTTTAAAAATGCAGTAAGGCTACCTGTATATACAAGAGAGAAAATGGCAGAGGATAACATTGGGTCATTGGGAAAGTCATAATGCATTTTTGCATGGAAACACATAGGAAAAAACATCATGATTTTCCCAACAACCTAGTAATTTTGAGGTGAATTTATTTATTTTTTTAATTGCCAGAGGGGTATGCTCACCAAAGAGAGAGAGAGTGTATGAGACAGAGAGCATCCACCAAAAGGGCTTGGTCATGCCACAATATTTTTTTCCCCCATTTCTCCATCTCGTCAGGACTTTGGGCACACACATAGGCAACCAGACATGTTTTTCAAGCCTCTAGGGCTGGAACTCAAACTATGGTCAGCCATGTGGGCTCCAGCTCTCTATACACAGCACTTAACCATGGTACTATGGGCCCAGTCTTCTGGTAATTTTATATATAATATTTCCATTGCCTTCAATGTTGAGGTCTTAGTCTCTCTGGACCTTTAGAAGGAAGGAAGAAGCAGGGAGTCACTCTTTCTCCAGATCATGCCTCTTCATGGTATATGAAGTGGGTGAGGGGGGCTCGGCAATGCATACCCCAAATCCAAAGCTGGTAACAGGAAGGAAAAAGTGAAGGACCCAAAAGCACTCTGACAGAGGCAGAGAAATGAACATCCACTGATATGTTTTTCTTCCATCTACTCCTCTCAAGGTAAGCTCCTTCATAAGAGCAAATCAAGACACCTCTCACTTGTTTTGGCTGGAATTTACAAACAAAATCTAAACTCAAGTTAAGTAGGGAAAAATATAAAATTGTATTTATTTTCCAAAATAAATTGAGAATGGATGCCTGTGCATATTTGATGCCTCAGAAGTGGACTTGAAGTTGAGTTTCATCATTATTGTTATTTTTATTGCTCTGGTTAAAGAAGTGCATAAAATTCCAAAAGCTTTTGAGAGTAGAGCTGATCCTCTCCCTGTGTGATTTATTAATATTTTCTATGTTTAATTCTACCTAAAATTCTCCTCCCATTCTAAAAAGTAATGAGGATATTTCGAATGAATCAGTGAATTAGAATGTCAGGTCAAAAAATGGTACGCATTAGGGTACATCATCTATTAACCCACAAATTCAGGCCGGTAGATAGCATAGTGGTTATATCACTGGACTTCCCACATGGCTGACCACAGTTCAAGTCCTAGACCTGGTGGCTTAAAAATAATGCTAAGTATGTGCTCATGGCCTACCCAAGATTCCAGGAAGAGAGTGAAGAAGGGATTGCAGCATGGCCACCAACCCTGGGAGATTGATTTCTCACTTTCCCTCTCACTATCTTGCTCTCTCTCCTCCCCAGCAAGTGTGTACAGCATAAGGCAAAAACCTCTTAAAAACTCACAAATCAAAATATTAATGGTGTGCAACACCCTGTAAATTCTGAGGAGTGAGATCATGTCTACTCTGTTTATCACTTTATCTTCCAGCCTCAATAACAATGCCTAGTCTATAATATACTCAAGTATCAACTAACAATAATCTAACAATACCTTATGACATAATAGCTTAGTATTAACGTTTATGCTGTTTCCTATTGCCGACATGATGCATTCCCTGGTATGCTCTGTTACCTTAAATTTAAGAAATGAAACAAAACACTGACGTAATGGGATACAATACAGCAAAAAGACATCCACCTGACAGGCACAGGAATAAAAGATCTGAAAGTGTATGTCATTCTGAGACATGATGGTGCCATAAGACTGCCAGTAAGAAGGGGAACTTAAGTCAACAGTTTATAAAGAGCCACTTGTTCTATTCCAGGTTATCTATGAAGTAACAAATATCAAAAAATGACAAAGGAATGTACAAAAGGAACAAAGGTGACTTTTGAATGATCAGTAGCTCACACATAGAAAATCAAAAGATTATTCATAGGAAAATAAAATTGTCGTCTTTTTTCTTCTTAGATGAAGATTTATGGTAGATAATAGTCTCCTGAAAAAATGCCATAGGACAGATTTTTTAAAATGTAATTTGCTAGTTACATAAATACGAGATGAAAAATTAAGACACAATACATTTGCATAATTAAAAGAAACAAATCAGCACTATCTGGACAAACTTTTCTTGCCCTAGAAGGATAAAAATGTAAATGTAAATCAGATTGTTTATGAAATACTGCTTATAAGTAAGTACATTTTTCAGCTCAGGGCTAAAAGCGATAGCTGGGAACTTGCTAATTTTGAAACCAAGAGCAATGTAAATGTAGAGAAAAAAGTTACTGTTGAAAAAAACTTGCAGAAGCAAACTGCCAATCTAGAGAATGAGTGGAACAATTAAACTGATAATCTAGAGGATAATTTCAAAATAACTAATTTTCTCCATATAAAACCAATGAATTAAATTGAATGTCTGATTCTAATATTTATGCTAAAGTACTGATCACATATTTTTTCCTGCTTTATTTTTTTGTTTGTTTATTTGTTTTGTTTTTAGGTTTTGTCATAGGGTGTGTACACTCTCCAGAAAGACAGAGAGAGGAAAAGTGAGAAATCACCCACCAGGGAGGATGGCCACGCCACAATCTCTTCTCCTCCACTCTCCCCCTGGGTTTTTGGGCATGGACACATATGCGCCCAGTATGATTTTTAAGCTGCCAAACCTGGGATTAGAACCATAGTTAGCCATTTGGGAGCCCAGCACCTTACCCACGACATCACTTCCTGGCACCCTGTCAGGTATCATTTTTATGGTGGACTAAACCTATATCAGTAGTTACAAAGTGAGTTTTAGACGTATAGTGAATTCTATAAGTACAGTGTGTTGTGTCAGTGGTTAGTTTATATTTTAAATATAAGCAATATGTAAAATATAGATATGATTTTTACGCTTTACAATAGCTGACTCTTCTTAAAGACCATTATGGACAACTCCATTTTTAAAGACAGGATAGAAGCTTCTTAGATCTCTTACCTATCCCTGAGAATGGTCCAGAGCTCTCCACCTAGGCAAGCTTCCATCAGCATATACAAATATTTGCTGTCCTTAAATGTTCTGTATAGTCTGTGAATTGAAACAAGAAATTAAAAATTATTATAAATATTATCATCTTTTAAAGCATATAAATGTTTGATTAACCACATTATAGTGTTTTAATTTGCCAAACTTGAAAGTTTAGCGAACAAGAAGGACCTAACTCGACCAATAGGGATGAGGATGCAATAGCTGATGAAACTGATTTTCATACTGCACGGGGTAACAGTGTCCCTGAAACAGATTACTCCAATGGATTACAGACAGAGAGGGCTTCCTGGGAGTTCATCGATTCCAATTTGGTTGCTGCATCAGGTACAAACTCTGGAGTAACTGTGGCAATTATAAACATGTGGTGTACGTGGATAGAAAGTAGATTAAGTGGGACTAGCAGATGGTGAAATGGTTACGTTGCTGGACTCTCACCTAGTTTACCACAGTTCAAGTCTCCTACCCAGAGGCTTAAAACTCATGCTGGGCATGTGTGTGTATGTGTGTGTGTGTGTGTCTGTGTGTGTGTGTGTGTGTGTGTGTGTGTGTGCCCAAGATCCTGAGAGGAGAATGGAGAGAAGGGATTGTGGTGTGGCCAACTCCCTAAGGGTGATTTCTCATTTTCCATCTCTTTGTCTCTCCAATGAGTGCACAAACCCTATAGCAAAAATCCTTCTTTAAAAAAGTAGGTTAAGTTTTACAAATATGAAATTTATGTGCTCTTCACTTAAATTCATGTTATATCTGGTTTTAAGCTAATACTACTGGCAATTTAACTAGAAAAGCTCTCTCTACATGTAGAAATAATTCTTCATTATCCTCTTATTGGGGTTCTCAAAATACAGAGAAGGAAAGGTCAGCTGCCATTTCATTTTTAAAAATATTTTTAAAAAATCAGAGTAGGGGCCAGCAGGTGGCATCATAGTTAAGGTACTGGACTTCTATGTGGCTGACCATAGTTTGAGTCCTGGAGCTGGTGGCTTGTTTTCTCACTTTCCCTCTGTCTATCTCTCTCTCTGGTGAGTGCACGTGCCCTATAGCAAAATTTAAAATAATCATAATTAATAGAATGACTTAACTCTTTAAAAATCAGAATAACTAAGTTAGATAATTTAATTTTCATATTTTTTTCTTTTAAGTACCAGAGATCTCTATAGTGGTTTAGGGTAACAGAGAGGATGAAAATGGATGTTAGAAACCCTGATACCTCTTCTGCAAAGAATGTTTTTTTCAGAGTATCTGATTCTCTTAGAAAAGAGAATAGAATCAAAACTTAATTTTTTAAATTAATCCAAACATTCTTAAGATCAGATAAGAATAAATTTCTTCGTGTGAGTGAAAAGTGTTAGCAGTGAGCAGAAGCAGTGAGAGTCCTATGCCTGATGGGATGCCCAGAGCTGGCACTTCAGTCCGGGAATGGCCTTTACCTCACTATGAAGTCGGAGTGAGCCCCCTGCATGATCTGCTTCTCAGAACGGATGTGCTCCTGCTGTCGTGTGTCTACAATGTGGCGTTTCTTGAGAATCTTCATAGCAAACGTTTTGGATTCTTCACTTTTCAACTGGACCTTAAAGAATGGCAGAAAGGATAAAAGAGGAAAAAGTCCATAGATTAAACATGACAAGAGTGCATTATCTTTTCTTTTTCTCCCCCCCCGCCCCCGCCACCAGGGGGCAGCGGTGCACCTCAGAGAGACAGACAGAAGGAGAGAGAGAAAGTACCCCCCATGGGGTGTGGTCATGTCCTAATCCCTTCTCCTCCATCCTATCAGGATTTGGGGCATGCACACACACACACACACACACACAGATATGCCCAGCATGGTTTTCAAATCCCTGGAACTGGGATTCAAACTGTGCAAGTGGGCTATGCAGGATCCAGCTCCCTTAACCACTTGGCCATGGGGCCCACCCAGGGTACATTAATTTGTGTGCTCATGGCAGGCGGGGGGCAGGGAGCATTCCCAATGGTGTGTAGTCACACTGCAATCCCTTCCACGCCATTTCTGCATCCTGCTGGGATTTTGGACACATGGCACACATGCCCAGAATGCAGCTCAGGCTGCCAGATCTAGACTCCTAATGCTTAGTGGGTCATAGAGCATCTAGCTCCTTTAACCACGAAGCCACACGCTGGCCCCAGAATGTATTGCCTTAACGTGAACCTCAAACCACCCACATTGCATGCACAACAACTCCGACCTAGAGCTGAGTTTCAAACTGGAGTCTCACAACTGTTATCCAAGCTCATTCCACTGACTCAGATAAACTTGAACTGGATTCTAAATGAATTTTGTGCCCACAAAGATTAGAAGATGAAAAATAGATTTGATTTTCATATCTCATTTCATTTTATATCATGTTTTGGATATATGTTATAGTTTTTCTCCTTTCATCCAAAAAGGAGAAATAAGAATGAATTTCTTCTCCAATTGTACTTTATAGGTGTGTAGCAAAAGATCACCTGGTCCTTTATGCTTGGACTCCTTAGTTCTGGCCCACAAACTTTTCTAGAGTTACTCAATTCAGTGACCCTTGTCTCTGTTGAGACTAGACTGCAGACACATAGGCTGTTATTTCTTGCTTCTCTCTCTCTCTTCTTTTTTC